CAAAAATCATTAACTGTCTCTACCTGTATTGCTAGCTCTCTTGTAGGTGTAAGAACAAGGACTCGTGACACAGAATTCTGCAATGGCTTGTATAGAAGTCTTTCAAGAATTGGTAACATGAATGCTGCTGTCTTTCCTGTAATGCGGTATGTTGAAGTTAGTAGAAAATATGTAGTTCAATGAATCATACATTCTTCATAATTGCCACTTCTGGCAATACATACTGTATATGAGTACAAAAGTACATGTAAGTAGAGAACAAAAAAGTGTTTTTTTGTATCCTGTTCACTGATATTATTGACTTAACAAAATTACTTTTTCAATACTGAACATTACATTYATTTGTACACTTTGTATACTGTTCACTTTGTTCATGAAAGATAATTCTACATATTCCACATAATATTATGTTCATGTATAAATATACAATNCTAGGTACAAACAATTAATCTCTTGTGAGAATACACTCTTTTATGTTGAAGAAACACAGTGATAGATATTTCATGCATCCACAGTGCAAACCTTTTGTGGCATGYCATGCCAAACAGAATACTGGCTGTTTAAAACAAAGTAACTTCTGAAAAACATTGGGGTCATGGTTGGACAATAACATAATTACGGTATACTCCAACAAAGGATTACAAATTTATAGTATTGTTATGAAGCATGACAAAATTCTTGATTTTTATTGAACTGTGTGTTACCTCATAATCAATTATCATTGATAAATTTTACTTGACMTACATTTACCTTATTTGATTGTCTTTTTTTGGAAATCTTTTCTTGCAATGAAGTAGTTGCTGTTGTCTAAAATGCAAATGACCTTTATTGGTCTTTATTGGAAATACGCATTCACAGGAAAAAAATCCAACGATTTTAAGAAAACTGTGCATAAATACAARCTAAAAATATAAACTTTGTGTTTGTGTGTAAATCACAGAATTTRCTGAGGGCTACTCTGAGCTTTCATACACGTAAAATTAAATATTGTTTGCCAGCTGATGATAAGCTTCTGATAAGATTTGACGAACATTTTACTCGTAAATACAAAAACCTACAGAGTTCTCTTTCTTTTTTGCGACTTTGATTGCCATATCAAGRTTCCAGGTTGTCTCATGGAACTCGTCTCCTGCGCTAAACTGGAAATTTTCATCAAACTCTTTTTTGTTTTGCTTCTTTTTGCTCTTCTTTTTCTTCAGCTGTTGAGAGAAATTTGATCGTCTCAAGCAATMTAAAATTATTTTCACAAAAAATGAACCTTGAATCAGAAGTAGAAGTTCTGTTCTTACTTCCTCTTCATCATCGCTGTCATTTTCTTCATCTAATATCTCTATTTCGTCGTCAGAATCGATAGTTCCTACAAATGGCAAAGAAGTCGCCATCTTGGAAACAAACACACGTGCATACGCCTGCGTTCCTTGGAACCAGCGGGGAATYGTCACWGCCCATGAGCAGTGGTTTTAAACACAGGAAGCCCATAAAACCAGTAAAAAATTGTCCCTTCTGATCTGCTATCACAAAAATGTCGATTATTTGGTCAAATATAAACATATTGGTAAAAAATATATAAAGATATGTATAGCTTTGATAAAAAATTCATCAATCTAGTTAATAGAATAGCCGTGACGTTATCGACATCTTGCT